AAAAAAAAAAAAAAAAAAAAAAAAAAAAAGGTCATAAAAACCAGCGACCCAGGTCACATTGTGACCTTGGGTCGCGACTCGGTATTGTGTGGAGAATAAGACATTTGTCCCATTTTGATTAGATAAGTGAATTTTTTTATGTTTAAAAAAAAATAAAAATAATATTAAAATTCGTATTTTTGCATTTTCTACAAATAGAGATCACACTTGATATATTTTGAAATAAAATTGTAATTTTTAAATAAATTAAAATAAAATAAATATTTAGGTTGAGTTGGGTTTTGGATAAAGATAAATTGAGTTGTAAGATTGAGTTGTGTAGGTAAAGGAGAAAGAAATCATTTTTAATTATTAGGTTGAGTTGGATTAGGTTGAGGATAAAGATAGTATTACACTATTACCAACTCTCTAGTTTTTAATTACCCTTTTTACTTTTATTTTATGCATGTATCGTTTCGGTAAAAAAAAAAAAAAAATGTTGTGTAACACAACAATAAAAGCATCCACCATCTTCTAAATTTACAAGTATCTTGGGATTATTGCTGTCATACAGAAGTGCAACCCCGAGATGGGTATTTGTACAGTGGATACAAAATTTCATGAGACTCAAGTTTTATGATAAAAATAACGACCTTTTTTTGGTAGCTAGTAGCTACACGGGAAATCCTCGGTCTTTCTTACAATAAATGAGGAGATTTAATGGATTAAACTATTCCAACGAGTTCGGAGCATGGTCACTGCCCTGCTGCAAGGGATAGCCTCCACTCTAATTTGTCCATCGACAACATTTTCTTTTACAAGTCCCAGCCTCACCAGTGTCTCTATAGCCTTGTCAACCGGCATCTCAACCTGCACACGTATACACATATTACTTGCAATGTACCAAGTGCTTATTCACTAGACGATCGTTTGATATGTTTTTACTTACCTTCTCTCTGAAAACATCATAAATAAATGTCTCGCATTCATGTCCAATAGCTCTTGTGCTCATCGCCTGCATTCAAGCAATTCTTCGTGACACACTTATTTTAGTCTAGTCTGAGAAATTTGCAATTCAGACAACTGAATTGCAAACTCTACAGAAAAGGAAAAGGCGATCATCAGCTAGCTGCAAGTAGGAAAAATGAGTAGGAAAACAATTCGTATATTGACTATTGAGTACGACTTAAGTTCGAAAAGTTACTAAAGACAGAAAACCTCCAACTTGATGAAAAATGGTGAAAAACAAAGAACAAAAGGCATTCAAGATCCCTCTACAAAGCACCGGTAATATATACATATATATCCATAGAAAGGCTAAGATATACTAGAATTAAATTAACATTTTCCACTACAATTGTTTGTCATTTTACAAAATCCAACTGTTGAAAAAATACAAGGATTTCCAGATGTCCCTAAGGATAGAAAGAAGAGGAAAATTCTATAGCTGTCATTTTTCACTTTTTTTATTTTAATTTCATCTTTCAATAATGTCTATTTTACTATATTGTATATATAAAATGATATAACAACTAATGGTTGGCTGACGAACCACTTTAACAAATACTACCTTAAACAAAGAAGTAAAATGTTCATAACATATACATTTACAAATAAAAAAAAAAATCTATGTTAATTCATAAATAAAATACTGAAAATGAAAATTGTGAAACTTTACAAAATTTCAAATTAGATAGCAATGGAAAACATAAAATAAATACATAAATGAACATAATATTAGGTAATATCTTTATCTTATTTATTTGTTTTACATTTCGATGCATGAGTAAGTGTAAGGGCAGTCTTGTTTGTACCAACTAGAGATCCTACGGACCAGGGGAAAATCAAATAAAAGAGACAAAACAATAGTTGAAATA